TCCCTTCCAGCCCTAATGTCTATGAAATCTATGAACAGGATGCATTTGGATGCATATAAGAAAAAAAACAAGGCTTTAAAATAAAAATCCTCAGTGGAGGTTCTGAAAATGGATCCCCAAAATGATGCAATTTAAAGGAGTTCTAAAAGGTTTTTTTCAAGCTAGTTTTTATCTTGTTCATGCTAATATTAACTATGAAGTAGAATTGTATAATATTAAAATGTAATAAAATGTGGTATCCTAATGATTGTACAGCAGAGCCTGATGGTTGAAAATACAAGTTAAAGTTTATACAACTATGCTGCATTAAGGAGGTATCAGCTACATAACTTTTTTGGAAAGAACAAAGCTGAAGAAATGTTTCACTCAAGCCTTTTAAAAACCTTTCAAAAATGCCATCTGGTTATGGCCATTAACTATGAGAAGAGATTGAAAGGAGTGGCTTTATAGAAATATTAACAACATACCACTGTATGAGATAAAAAGAACAGACCATTTAACCATATTACACACTGTTTTCCCCAGAAAATATAAACATAGATGTGGGAAAAAACCCAAACTGTTAAACACTGTAGGTATCTTGAAACCATTGGTAAACGTTGTAGCCCAAACCTTGTTGTTTATTACCAGATAAAGGGAAAGTGATCACATAACCTAATTATGAAGGTGTGGCTCTTTACCTAAAGCAACGGACTTATGCTAAAGAAATGTAATATGAATAAAATGAAATTGACAATAGTGTTTGCCGTGGTGATAGTATTTGCACAAAACAGTACATGATAACATTTTCAAAAACAGCTGAACTGCAGTAAAAATATCTTTATATTTTTCAAATGTTTATATCCAATGTATTTATAATAATCTTTTCAAAGGTTTGTGAGAAATAAATCTGATCTTCTTTTTTTTTTTAAACTATGCATGGTATATGTGCTAACTTACTGAATTCATCCTTCATGCAATTCCAGTTTATTAAAGAGGTTAAAAATTTATAAAACTCTGATGGGATATGGTTTTAATGCTTCATCACACTACCCATCATTTGCTTTTCAATCTAGATCGGAATGATCTTTCCTACTTCCCTGCAATCACCTACCTGCACAGCTAATATTTTCTGAGCATTCTCATGAGAGGCTGCCTGGAACTTCGCCAGCCCAGCCTGGCTATAGAGGCCTCGCTGTTTGAAGTACTCCACCAATGCCCTATGCATCCTGCTCTGCAGCACGGAGAGCTAAAGGGGGGAAAGGCAAAAAAAAAAAAAAAAAACAAGTCAGAGTAGGAGAGGAAATTAATGGCAGTGTTCAAGAAGAATGATGGAGGGAAATATAGAAAGCAGTCAATAGCCCATTCTGCACTGTACGGACCTGACAGGAATTTCACAGTCTCTTGATTTTTCAGCCCACTCATGTGCATTCATCAGAAACCAGTCACATCTGGCTGCTAGGATGGGGGGTTAATTTTCTCTAAATGCCTCAGCAGTTTTGTTCTAGCTGAGGCAAACTCTGTGACTGCAAAGCTGATGAGTAAAATATTTCTACTTCACCCAGTTTAACTCAAAACCGATAGCCTCGGGACATATTGAACCTTTCTTAAAAAAATAATCTTTTGAAGCTTTTTGAATGGCACATCAGGTCAGGCCAAAGTTTAAAATGCAAGTTTAAGACTTTGATGGACATCATGGCTTTTTTTCCCCTTGTAAAGCTTATCATAGCTTGGCAATGTGTGCTTTAGAGCATGACAAAACTAAAGAGAATTAACTTAGCCATCAACTGCTGAGGGAGAACAATAACAGGAAAGAAATTTCCAGATAGAACTACCTATTAATCTACCTAGCTATAACCATGTGACATGAAAGCATCCAACAGCACTAAATTACAATGAATGCAGCAGCTGAAAAGTGACACTATTTTTTTCAAAAGGTTTTTATATGAAAAATAATATTGGAGATCATTGGAACTGTATTGATCACTGCATCTGAAATTATTCAAATCAGAAATGTTTATTTAATATGCTTTTACAGTTTATTATTTAATATAGCAGCACCATTCTCACACACAGTTAAGACTCTGTCAGTACTTCCATCATTTTAAGCATTTATAACTCAGATAAACTTGGCACAGCAGATCTCAGTCTAAAGCAAAATCTATTAAGACAATTTGAAAATCTACCAATACAAAATGTGGCTGAAGACACCTGTGTACACTTATAATTGAAACTTGGTTTGTTTCTTAAATTGACATTCTGCCAACATTTGTCCATAATCTGGGCTAGTGCCTTTGGGTGATCTGGAAAATACAAATTAAAACCAACTAAATTAATTTGTTTAGAAGCATGCTTTTGTGTTCAAGCATGCTAATTATTTCAATAAAAATTTCATAGCTATTGTTAGCACATAGCCTTCATGAGTATGCCTGTCAACCAGATTAACACAATAGATTATACTGTTCCTTTGGAAATGTTACAATTCATTAAGGTCAATGCTACAGGTCAGTAATTGGGCCAGTAATAAAGAAGCCTGTACATGATAAGAAATAACTGCTTTTTAGGAGCCAGCCTATTGTGTCACGTGAAAAAGCCACTTTTCAAAAGAACATAGATTTTAATAATGCCAAGTGAGCTACTAGAGTCTAGAGAGTAATTAATAAGTATTTTCAAAATTAATGGTCTGATTTTCAGAGGTGCTGAGCTTTCACAACTCATATAAGCGTCTATGAAGGCCAAACTAGTAGGCATCTTTGTAAGTCAGGCCAGACAATCATATAATTTAGGGGTGGGCAAAATGGCAGATCTGGCTGGCGGCTGGACCCCATTTCCCAGCGGCCCCTGCCCACATTGCTGCAGCTGGATTCCACAGAGACCCCGGCAGCAGTGGGCTGTGACAGTCCAGGGCCAGGGTTTCCATGGAGACCAGCCCCTGCAGCGCTGGCAGGCTGAGTGGCTGGGCAGGGAGCTACTCTGGGGCTGGGATTTTGTGGTGGTGAAAGCACAGTCGAGGAGCCAGGGCAGACCTGTGATTTGCTGCCTGTATGTCCCAGTGGATCACAGCTCTGCCCCGGCTCCAGACCACACCTGTCACCGCCACAAGATCCCAGCCACCGGGCAGCTCATCACCCAGCTGCACACCCTGCCAGCGCTGCTGGGGCCAGTCTCCATGGAAACCCTGGCCCTGTACTTTTACAGCCCCGCCGCTGCTGGAGTCTTCCTGGAAACTGGGAGCAGCAATGCAGGCAGAGGCTGCTGGGAAATGGAGTCAACTGCGGGCCCAATTCAGCCCGCAGGCTGGACTTTGCCTACCCCATATATAACTAATCTTTTACATCGCAATTTACATATTTATTTGAATTTGATTTATGTGAATGGCATCTATGCATCAACAATAGTAAAAACAAAAAATACAAAATACAAAAAGACAAACAGCTTTTAACTTTCCCATGGCTGTTGAACCTGGCACAGTTAGGCATTTCCAAGCTAAAGGCATGATGTCATTATTATTATGATTTTCTTATTTTTTCTTATGGTTTGTGATAACCCTTGAAAAATATGAAAATAAATGCATTTATATATGTATCCTTTTGAATCAAACAAATGTTTTTTCTTATGTATTTCTAAACACATTGAACTGAATATGGCTATAGAAGATAATGTTCTTTCTCATACTATAACCCACAGATGGTGCCAGGGCTACGCAAGATAGTCATCTCATTTCTGACAAATGCTTGCCTAAGTGGGTAGAGCTGTAGAAGTAGGCTGCCAAAAGAAAAAGCAGAACGTCCTGCAGCCCCTAAGAAGCATTGGGGAAAAGAAGCTCCAGTCCCCCAGCAGTACCTACCACACAATGTTGTTCTGCTGAGGCTGTGGCATTGGCTCTGCTCCCTGTCTGTAAAATAACCCCCCTCAAGGGAATAGTGGGGGCTGGTGCAGGCATTGAGTAGAAATTAATGCTGCAAGGAGGAACATTAACTTCCATGCAGATTTCTGCTTTGCTGGGAGGGAAGAATCCTGGATTGACTGGCTACTCCCTGCCCTCAACCTACAAACAAGGAAGCTGTAACCCTATGGTTTTGTTGGAGGTGCACTTTTGTAATCTCCTGGGGAGAGGAAATTAGGCTGTGGAGGAGCTGCTTTCTTCATTCTGCTGTTTTGGGGCTTTACTGCCCCATTTTACTTTTCTTTTGTTGTTATTCCCCTCTGTGCCTCACAGCAGAGGGAAGCATATGGCTCTATGTTTGTTTAATTCCTTGTTTATATACTAGTATCATCAATAATATTAGTGCAACTCTGGGGGGAGGGGGAAAGAGACTGTTAATTAGTTCCTGTTGATGACCTAGCAGAGGGGACCAGTGAGTTGAACTGGAATCAAACTGGGTCCAGATAATCATTTCAAGCTATTCTTTTACTTGAATTCTTTTACTTGAACTGGAAAAAAAACAGAACCATAATTAGTCCTATTTACTGAAACCTGAACCAAAAAAATGGGTTACTAATTATAAGAAGGAGTTGGCAATGTTGACACTCAATGTTTTGGTTTGTGCTTTCTTTAAAGATATTCTCTTTATCAAACAGGAAAGCAAAATAACAAACAGACATGTGATTATTAATGGAAAGGCATGCCCCCGTACAAAGAGAAGAGAGCGAGAATGAAGGATAAGAGAAGGGAGATAGAGAAGAAGCTTAGGAGATGCACATCATACAAGGCAGCCTGTAAGGAAAATGGTGGAATGCTTCCTGGTCCCAGAAGTTAAAATTCTCTCTACAATTCCAAGGAAACAGAAGATAGATCTCGAACTCTTCTTCCTCCTAAACAGGCCTACTCCCACCCATCCATGCCGCTTTCAGTAGTTCCTCCTTGAAGGCAGCAGAGTAGTTGAAGCCAGGAGCAGTTGAGGAAGAGCATCTCCTCTACCTCCTCCTATTCAGAGAAGGGGCAGGCAGTCACCCACACCTAGCCTAAGTGGTAGAAAAAGGTGCCAATGACCAGGGCACCATTCAGCAGGCACTACTAAATGTAACCAGTACACTTGGCAATGGGCAACTTGTATGGAGTGCAGCAGGCAAGGAAGCCTTGCTCTGAAACTGCTGCAGCTAGGTACTGCCTCCAGGTCATGCTGGGGTGGGTAGTTCGAATATGGATGTAACACCCTGAATGCCCACCTGTACAGTTCGAATATGGATGTAACACCCTGAATGCCCACCTGTACAGTGCCTTCCTAGACTTCCTCAAGGAGATGCCACCACACATAACAACATCTTATATAAGCTCACCAACTCAAAATGGGGAACTAGTCCCTCAACCATCTGAAGTACTGCTCTGGCTCTCAGCTTCTCTTCTGCTGAGTATGCATGCCCTGCATGGGCGAGATCTTAAATGATAGCTGCTGATGCATCACAGGATGTCTGAAGCCTACCAGCCTAAATGGTATGCACCTGCTTGCTGGCAGCACTCTGCCTGACATCAGAAGAGCAGTGGCCAGCAGGATAGAATGATTGCAACAAACTGAACATGTGAGACACCTGCTGAACAACCATCCTACAGCATGCAAATGACTGAAGTCACACAGGAGCTTCCTCACCAGCACCCAAGCTCTCAATGCCACACCCAAGGAGGCACAACTATAGAGATGGAATGAGAGGCTGAAAAAGATACCTGACAACAAAAAAAGGACATTCCAGTGGTTGAGTCCTTACCATCGGGGGCTGATGAACCATGGCAAAGGTGGAAATGTCTTAACTGCCTAAACACCAGAGTTGGACATTCCAAGGAACTAATGAAGAAGTGAGGCTATACCATTGGTTCAACCACCTGCAACTGTGGCACAGAGCCTCAGACTATGCAACACCTGTTGCAGTGCCTGGTGCTTGAAGGCACATGTTTAATAAAAGATCTTGCAAAGTACAATAAACGAGCCCAAGCATGTGTAACAAAATGGTTAAATGTGGTGTAGAGACACAAGAAGACCACACCTTTTGTAAGGCATGGCACTGGATAGTAGTATACCAGGTTCTCCATTCTTATCACCATCCCTTGTCAAAGTGACAAGCAATGACAAAGATGGCAAGTCCAGAGAGCTCCCAGCGGGGAGAGCTTGTTATGTATGGAGGTGGTTCTCTAGGGCAGTATCAGTATCCAGGGGAAGGGAGGCTTTCATTTCAGCCAAAAGTTGTGAAGCAAATTGGGTGGAGTGCAGGCCCCGGCAGGTGGCCAGGGCTTTAGCCAGGAGCTAGGTGGACAGGTCTGGGTCAAGGAGGTGAACCAGTGATGGTATGCAACTAGACTAAGGAGGTGCCAAGGCTTCTGACACCAAGTCTCAGTGCCTCTGCCTGAAAGCCATGTTGTGGAAC